CCATGCCCGGGCCTTGGGCCGCCCGTCCCATCCGCCCGGTGGTCCGGCCCGTGCCCTGCCTCGGTCTCCGCACCTCACAGTGTCTGTGTGTCCGTGTGTGTGTGTGTGTCCGTGTGTCTGTGGAGGAGGGAGGCCTTCAGGGCTGGCCCCACCTGGGCCTCTGCATCCGACACACAAGAGGGGTGCGTGTGAGGAGAGGCGTGGGGCTGATCATTCTCATCGGAGGGCCGGGCCTGTGCCGGGCTGGGGAGGGGTAGGAGCGGCTCCCGGGGGGTCAGTGCACGGCCTCGCGGGGGGCCGGGGGGGGGCGGTCAGCCTGCAACCCAGCCGCCCTGAGCAGGAGCTGTGTGAATTATTCACCAGGCCGGGCGGAGGGCCTCTTCCAGCGTTGGTGTCCCAGCCTGGAGCCCGCCCCCCCCCACGACCCGCCCTGCCGGGGAGTCAGGTGGGAAGAGCTCTGGGGAGAGCACCCGGGCTTGGAGGAGAGTGGGAGACGGATTGGTCCAGAACAAAGAGGCTCAGGTGTCACCTCGCAGAGCCCCGAGCCTGGGGCCCAGTGTCAGCCGGGGACGGGGCCTGAGGCGTCCACTCCCCGTGGCCCTGGGCAGCCGGGGCTGGGCCAGCGAGGCTGGTCCTGGGGCTCAGGCCTGCCCGGCTGTGGGGGGGGGGTGCCCTGCCCTCACCCGCCCGCCCCCCTGCAGGGCTCACCTGCTGGCTGGCCCTGTGTGCGGCCGAGGCGGCCCCCGCCTGCCCCTTCCTGTGTGTCTGCGAGGGCCCCGACGTGGACTGCAGCGGGCTGGGGCTCACGGCCGTGCCCCCCGACGTGCCGGCCGCCGCCCGCAGCCTCCTGCTGCTCAACAACAAGCTGAGCGTCCTGCCCGGCTGGGCCTTCGCCAACCTGTCCGGCCTGCAGCGCCTGGACCTGTCCAACAACTTCCTGGACCAGCTGCCCGGCACGGTCTTCGGGGACCTGGGGAACCTGACGGAGCTGCAGCTGCGCAACAACAGCATCAGGACGCTGGACAGCGGGCTGCTGCGCGGCGCGCCCCGCCTGCGCCACCTGGACCTGTCGCTCAACGGCCTGGCCCAGCTGCCGCCCGGGCTGTTCGACGGGCTGGCCGCCCTGCGCTCGCTCTCGCTGCGCTCCAACCGCCTGCAGCGCCTGGACCGGCTCACCTTCGAGCCGCTGGCCGGCCTGCAGCTGCTGCAGCTGGGCGGCAACCCCTGGGAGTGCGACTGCAGTCTGCGTGCCTTCAAGCACTGGATGGAGTGGTTCTCCTACCGAGGTAGGGGGCCGGGGGGGCCGCCCCAACTCCATCTGGCCTTGGCGTTCAGAGAGGGAGGCACAGCCGGGCGCCGCGGCCCCCGCCCGCCATCCCAGCCACTCAGGAGGCTGAGATCTGAGGATCGCGGTTTGAAGCCAGCCCGGGCAGGAAAATCTCCCATCTCCCGTGAGACACCAGAAAGGTGGGAGCGGAGGCGTGGCTCCAACTTGGAGCAAAGGAAGCCAACAGAGGCGCCCAGAGCCTGAGTTCAAGACTCAGTACGGGCACACGCACACTAATTCAGGATGGGGGGCCTGCCCTGGCTCTGCGCCCCTCAGGCCTGGCGTGGCGGGTGGAGTGGACCCACGGGGAAGTCGCTGTCTGAGCGTCGGCGCTGCTGCAGCAGCCGGGTGAGGCGATCAAAGCCCCCAGGCTGAGGCTGGCAAAATTTCCGTTAGTCAAACTGTCAACCAAGAAACTACATGGTTCTATTTATGCATTTCCTGTGCTAGTTCTGGGCTTAAACTCAGGGCCTGGACTCTGTCCCTGTGCTGTTTTTGCTCATGGCTGGTGCTCTATCACTTGAACCACGGCTCTATTTCTGGCTTTTCCTTGTCGGTTGTGGGGCTTGAACTCAGCCTGGACGCTGTCCCTGAGCTCTTCAGCTCAAGGCTGGCGTAGTGCTCTACCACTCAAGCCACAGCACCACTTCTGGTTTTCTGGTGGTTCCTTGGAGATCAGAGTCTCATGGACTTTCCTGCCCTGGCTGGCTTTGAACCATGATCCTCAGATCTCAGCCTCCTGAGTAGCTGGGATGACTGCTGTTGGCCACAGCGTGCGGCGGAAATGCTTTTACTTTTACTTTATTTCCCCTCTTTTAACCCGGACAGAGTAGTTCTGCAATGAGCAGAAAGCATGATGAAGGGAAGGGAGACTAAGTAAGTAAGCTCTGTGGTTGGAAGTGCCAGGCCTGTGTTTTGCCCACCACCCTCCGCCCTGTGTGACGTGGAGGAAGTGGGTGAACCTCTCTGGGAACGCGTGGCGCCGGACACATGGGTCTCACGGCAGAGTCCCGGGCAGAGCGGCTGCCTGGGGATCACATCCAGCCGTGCGAGCGGGCGCGAGTGGGCGCGGCGCACAGAGCAGCTGCTCGGGGAGCGCAGGACAAAGCGACCGGGGAGGCAGGCACGCGCGTCTGCCACCCGGCCACGGACACAGTCACGGCCAAGAGATTCCAGTGCACAAGTTCATTACAAAAATAAATAAACCACCAACCGTGAGATGCCCGGAGACCACGGGGCCGGGGGAGGGTTCGTGTTCGCCGACGCCCGTCCGGGCATCGGATCTGTGCCGCTGTCTCCGGGCGCTGGTGGAGAGGGATGTTCTACCCTGGACAGGGTAGATCCTGGGGCCCGGGCTCCCGGGACAGCCGGCACACCCTGTCTGGTCCTGGCCCTTTCCTGGCCTGGCCCTGGCCGTGCTGCAGTAGGGTCGAGGCCCGGGTAGGCCCTGGGACGGCGCTGGGCTGGGCCTGCCTGGGGGAGGGACCCCATCAGGCTGGGGGGGTGTGGCACTGGCCCCGGGCAGCAGCCCCGTGGGTAGGAGAGCGGCCACAGAGCGAGAGGAGGGGCATCCCCCCAGAGCACAGCTCGGTGCTCAGGAGCCCGAGGTAGAAGACTCCTGGCTGCGTGGCGCTGTGAAACCGTGCACCCCGTCTGGGGGGCTTCGGGGACACCCATCTCCACGAGCTCCCGGTCCGACGCCCGGACGGGCGCTGGCCAACAGCGAACCCTCCCCCGGCCCCGGTCGCCGTTCCGTGTTCTCCTGGCATCTCTCGATTCCCCCTCTTTCCCGGGGCCGCACCCCTGGGTTGGCGTAGTTCACGGCGGGGTGGGGGTGGGGACGGCTCGGAGCAGCTCCGGAGAATGCCGGGCGGCTCTGGGACTTTGCCGGACCCCGAGGGCGAGGCGTAGGGGCCTCGTCCGTCCTCCAGGCCGGGGGGGGGGCGGTGGATGAGGGTGGACAGCTGCTCAGCTCCTCCTTCTCTGTCCCCCGCCCCCGTGTGCAGGGGGGCGTCTGGACCAGCTGGCCTGCACCCTGCCCAAGGAGCTGCGGGGGAAGGACATGCGTGCAGTGCCCATGGAGATGTTCAACTACTGCGTGCAGCTGGAGGAGGAGCCCGGCGCCCCCTGCGCCAAGGCCAGCCCCGAGCCCCC